CCCCAAAACCCCAAAACCCCATGCCTTATAATTAATTAATATAGATTAAATAATAATATAAAATGAATTAATCAGCCACAAAATTGAAGCAAGCATCAAGATTTATTTCTGCACACTTATATCCTAAGCTTGACAGCGATAAAAGATCAGTGCTAATAAGAAATTGCTTCAGAATCGCACAAATAAATCACTAATGCTTCTCATCCTAAAACGACTTATATGCGTAAAGACTAAGAGCGATTAGATAAGCAAGTAAATTGGCTGATTAGCAAATTAGTGACAAAGATGCAGTAAGTCAATCTGAAGAATATAGGAAGTAGTATGGCTAGAATATCATCAAGTCATCTATTGAGAATTACGACAAGAAAGAATAGAAGAATTATTATTATCAAAGAATGCAAGGAACTGATATAATGAGAGCAGAGTTGGTGTATAGCTTGGATCTAGAAGACATCTTAGTCTTGTTTAAGAGAGCAAGGACTGAAAGAAATATAGGAAAGCAATCTTATGAGTTTTACAATGCTTGTCTAGATAGAATTAATAACTTAGTGACTGAGAGGAACTCGAAAGTAAAGAAGGACTAAATCATCTAAATTCTCAATGAGATGAGTTACTATAGGCCAAAGGAAGATGAAATCTATGAAAAATAGAGAAAGCATCAGGGACTAATGACTAAGAGTGAAATGCAAGATGATATCATCTCAGTAAGGCATAAAGAGATCATCAGTGAAAAAGCAGATTCTTTCAGAACTGTGCCAGGTGATATGGCCAAATTTGTATTCTAGAACTTGTCCAAGGGTCTTTTCAAAGATATGTTTACCTAGTATGATGAAGAGCAAGAAAGCAAATTCAAAGTCTCTCTTTACGATGTCTTGTCTAATTACATTGAGCTATATCAAAATCTTGAGGTTAGGGTAAATGACATGCTGAACTAAGACAATATCACATTAACACCCAAAGAGGGTTTGGATGTTTTAGTGAGTTACTCAATAGCCTAAGAAGGCACAAATACTCTATTCGTTAAGCTAATTGAATTATTATTAAAGAGATAAGAACCCTACGATATTGTAGAAATAGAGCTTGTTCTGAATTACTTCCCTCATGTCATTTGGAGGAATGAGCAATAACTCATGATTTTAAGAGATAGGTTTTACTATCCAATGACTCTGAAAATCAATGAGATCATTAATGATCTTGACTCAAGGCAGTTCTTAAGTGTATTTCAGGGGTTGAGTTTATGCGGGGACTAGGTATTTAAGCTAGAACTATTCAACAAATACCTGAATTCATATGTGCAGAGAATTCAAGCAGCCACCAATAAACTTAACGTTGAACAGTGTTTTACATTTTTGGAATTGTACATTTAGTATATGAGGGCTAATCCTTCTCTGCTTGAAATAATAGATTCTCATTAACTAATACAGGTTTCAAACTAACTTGTATTTAATAATGAGCTTCCAAAATTGACTATTCATCAAATAAGTGGGTTATTTTGGATTTTCTCCAATATTGGTGGAAGTGCCTCATTCAATCAAGTTACGGTGGATATTGCTGAGGAGAGACTTAGTAAGCTAATGAGAGAGGAGTTGCTGCTCCAGAAGAACTTAGAAAAAGATGTCGAAGCAAATGTCAGGGAGGGATTATAAACCATGAGTGTTCATGATTTGGAAGTTATTGATTATTTATACAACAACGATATCAACCTTAAAGAAGTCAGTAAGAGGTCGAAAGAAATACAAAAACTTATAAAATAAGCAAAGCACTGGGACAAGCCTGAGAAAGAGAGAAAATGGTTCCACATATGATATTAGTGATGCTGATAGTTTTCTAGTTTGTTATATATGTTAATGTTAATTAAATAAACTTCAGTCTTAATGTGAAGTATAAGAAGAAGTTAAAATTCATTGAGTTTACTGAAGATGATTATTATAGTATCAAGCAGTTGCAACTGGCTTCTTTGAACAGCAGTGCTCTCTTTTGCACTTGCCGGCACCTTTGTTTTGCTTGAGCTTAGCCTTAACTGAGTCAACATTTTCAGCACCTGATTTAATAAGATCAGCAGTTGGCATAACGTTTTAGTTCATAGCCTCGTAGTAAGTTAAAACAGCAGCAGATTGCATTTATCCAGCAACAGCTCTAACTTTGTTGTCCTTAATGTAAAAGGCAACAAATTTGCTGTCAGCAAGGCTTCCTTGGATGTGAACTTCATCAAATTCAGCAGCATAACCAGCATATTGAATGGATTTATTGTAGTGTCTGGTCCAGAAGAAAGGAACTCCTGAGAATGGGACTAGCTTCCCGAGCATGTTGAAAGCAGCATATGAACCTTGATCCATGGCGTTAATGTAATGCTCAACTCTTTGATGCTTTCCAGTCACCCAGTATGGATATGAAGCATTATCTCCTGCAGCAAAGATGTCTTTGTTGCTTGTTTGGAGGAATGGGTTAGTAATAATTCCACCTCTCTCGTCAAGTTGGACTCCTGATCCTTGGAGGAACTTGGTGGCTGGAAGAACTCCGGCTCCGCAGATAACGAGATCAGCCTCAATGACGGTGCCATCATCAAGAACAACTGAACTGGCATTCTAGCCATCTCCTCTAATTTCAGTCACCTTTCTTCCTGGGTGGACCTTAACTCCATGTTTCTCATGCTCTGCAGCGATATAACCTCCGATCTCTTTGCCGAAAGCTCTCTCAACTGGAGTGCTCTCAATGTAAACCAAATGAACCTCTTAAGCTTCTTTGTATTAAAGTTTTAATGCTGAAGCACTTTCGGATCCAATAAATCCACCTCCTAAAATGACAACTTTCTTTGAGTTAGCAGCTCTTTGCTTGATGGCCTCTTGGTCACTGCCGTTTCTTAAAACTAGCACATTCTCAAGATTAATACCTGGAATGGGGGGTCTGAAAGGGGAAGCTCCAGTTGCAACGCAAAGTTTGTCGTAGCTCTAAATTAGGGATGATATAATTATAGCAAATGATTACGATTTTGGTGCCGTCTGAAAGGGTTACAGTTTTCTCATTAGCATTTACTGATTCAGCTCTTGATCCAAGTCTGACGTTAATGTCTGCATTTGCCAAGAAATCTTCATTTCTTAACTTGAATTTAGAAGCATCTCCAGTTGCTAAAACCTTTGATAAAAGAGTTCTATCGTAAGGGACAATCTTATCATCTGAAATAATAGTGATTTCACCGGTAAAGTTTGATTGTCTAAGAGTTTCAGCACAGAATAAACCAGCAGGCCCACCTCCAATAATGACATATCTTCTAGTATCATTTGGATCTCTCTTGGCAAGTGGTTGAGTGTGACTTCTTGGAAGGTTAGATGGGACTTAAACGAAGAACTTTCCATCTCTTTCAATGATGTCGAATTTTGGAAGTCCATCAAGACCTGGAGCTCCTTCAAGTGCACCAGTAACGACGGAGAAAGCAGCTGCGTGCCATGGGCAGATGACCTTATCATCGAACATCTGACCAGTATGGAGTGGAGCACCGAAGTGAGTGCAGTAGTTACCGACTGCGTGGAGTTTCCCTTGATATCTTGAGATGAGGACCTTGTCTTCATCCTTTGGACCAACCTTCAAGTCTTTCATTTAACCGTCTTGCAAATCAGAGGCAAAGTCGATCTCGATTTCAAGCATATTGGTTTCACCCTCAGCTTCCACTAGTTGCTTCTTCATGAATTAATTAGTATAGCCATTATGAGCAGCGTAGGTAAGAGCTGCTGCTCCTCCCAATAACAAGAAATAGGCGCTGAAGTTTGATTATTATTTCTGTTGATTCTATAAGAATTAAATTTACACAAATTAGAAGTTTACTGATTAGTTAGTGTATTATGAGTAAGTGGCAACTCTTTAGTTAAGGAGTTGAATGTTTCTAAGAGCAGCTTATTGAGGCAAGAGTCTCTTCGATATATATCTTCTAAGTTGATTTTGCATCTTAAATAGTAAAATTAGATAAATTAATAATTAAAGTATGAAAATTATACTTCAATAAATGAATATATCTTACTTAGGACAAATTCAATTTACTTCAGTATTTATGTGTATGTATGCTTTAGGGGTTTTGGGGTTTTGGGGTTTTGGGGTTTTGGGGTTTTGGGG